CTGTAGATATTTAAAAAATGTAACAAGCACAGGATTTAAGACCCATGGGAATACTAAGTCACACAATGATGATGCCAATTTGGAAAAAAACATTTTAACTTCATAACATGAAAAAGTAAACCAATCCAGGGGATATTTGAATATGTTTACAAATAATAACTGTATGTTATCCATGGTTATTATAAATATCAAAATGAAACACAGACAAAATGAAAAAACTGATAGAAACAATGGAATCAATACATTTTACAACTAATATAATGATGACAGTGTATTAAATTATTTTTGATCAATTGTGATGCAAGATAACATAATGTTCAATTACATAATAACTACCAATTTTAATAATGTACTACTATTACAACTGCACCCTATATACAGTAGTTTTATCCTACACTCCCTTCATACACTTGCTCTTGACCCTCACTCCAAATGATTGATGTGCAGCCATCCAATCAAATCAAATTAGTAGACATGTCTACTAACCAATAAGATGACAACAGAAGACATGGGTGAGGGTAAAATACAGGTCATGCTGTTCTTGATTGTGGTAGTTGTCTGATTGCAGTGGGTGGAGGCAATATAACCTGATAGATCTATATTGTGCATGTTGTATCAGACAAGTTTATAGGTGAATTACAGTAAATCTCACAATGTTTTCCAAAAATTTAGAAAATGTAACTAGCACAGGAATTATGCCTATGCAAATTCAAACTCATACCTGGAAAATACTTCATGAAAAATAATCTGATCAGCATCTGTTTTTAAGTCTAATGAATCTAATATAGTGAAGAACATTTTTTGCTGAATGGAGCATACTGTGGTCCCAAGGTTCTATGTTATCACATCTGGAATTGAATCCCCTTTTGTATCATCTTATTTCAGTGTTTTTCTTAGTTTGGTTATCAGAATGTTTTTAGCTTGTTGAAAGCTCACATAGATGATGTTTTCTAGATAAATAATTTTGTCTCCTAAAATTGCATTTTTGATTCCTGAAATTTCTGCTTCATTGTTTTTCTGAGTAAAAATATTAAGTCCCGAAATCTATGTCTCCCTGTGTTTTTCTGAGTAACAATGTTTTAATTCCTGGAATCTTTGCTTCCCTGTATTTTTGTCAGTAACAATATTCATGGTTAGTTCAATTTCAGAATTACTAAATCATCTTAAAAA